GCCTCATCCATCCTAAGCTTTATTTAAAGGCCTTTAGCTGTCTCTGTAAGATAATAGACCTGTGTTGTTGATCAAAATAAAAGACTGCTAATGAGCATCCTCAGACTTAAAACATGAGAGAGACACTTAAGGCTGGCTCACCGCCTCATTTTAGGCTTACATTACTCATGGGACACAACCCTATTCGAATCTCAGCCTGAGGAGGAGCTCCCGCTCAGCCCAGTTCCCAAGCCTGCCCCCAGTTTAGATGGTAAGTCACCTTAAGCTCCTTAGACAGGAGACTTTTCAAATGGCCTTTACACTTTCACACTACACTGTTCCAACTGCAGTATCTCAGCCTGGGAGCCAATAACGGCAGCTCTGCTCTTCTCAGGTTGAGCCTGCCTGGGACTTACTTCTCAGGGATGAGAACAGGCCATGACAAAGTAGGGCTCATGCTGCCTGGATCCTCAGCCTGCTTTTGTACTATCCACTTCTGACATTTATTTTGCATGTTTAGAAGGCAGTGTATACAAAGAGAGCATATGCCCTGCCAGACCTCGCCATTGTACCATCCATCTCTGCCTTCATAGGGAAAAGTTCCCATTCCCTGAAGGTAAGAAGGTAAATGGACAATTTATTTTTCAAAAAGTTGTAACTAACTTGCTATAGAGACAGAGAGCTCTTTTAGAATTAAAAGATTGGCTTGCTCATCTATCTATGTATCCATCCATTCATCCATCCTTCCATCCATCCTTCCTTCCTTCCATCCATCCATCCATCCTTCCATCCATCCTTCCTTCCATCCATCCTTCCTTCCATCCATCCTTCCTTCCATCCATCTATTGCTTTGGAGAACTGAACCGCTGACTGAGCTTCATCTCAACTCCAAAGACATGCTTTGGGTAAGAATATTTTATAGCAAAGACCATGGCAAGAGATCATTAGATTTGACATTGAAATAAAAGGAAAGATCACTAACTCGGTTGTCGGCTGGTCAGCTCTGGGTGGTGATTGCTTGACTAGAGTATGTCTTTTGTCGCAGATGCTCATAAGCATCAAATACTAAGCATTTTTTCCCCAGAAAATATTGATTTCTTCTGGGAGGAGGTTTAAGTAGCATCATGCACATAGGTTTTGGGAGTTTTTCTATGTTAGGCAATGTAGTATTATATTTAATAATAATAATAATAATAATAATAATAATAATAATAAAAGTCTTGACACAGAGTTTTATTCTGTAGCTTGATCATATTGACCTTGAACTTACACTGAACTTTGGATTAAACTTCTCCATTGCTGAGGTAAAACTGACCAAAACCAACTTAGGGAGGAAAGGACTTAATGACAACTTGCAATCACTGAGGGAAGCCAGGGCAGGAGTTCAGGCAGGAACCTTGAGTCAGAATCCGAGAGGCATGCTCAATGCTGACTTGCTTCCCCTGCCTTGGTCAGCTACTCTTATAGAACCCAGGACCACCTCCCCAGGGCTGGCACCATCCACAGTGGTTGTGGCCCTCCCCCATCTTGTTAATCAAGAAAATGCCCCACAGGCATGCCCACAGTCCAGTCTGAGGAAGACAGTTCCTCAATTGAGGCACATTTCCCCCCAGGAAACTTTAGTTTGTGTCAAGTTGACAAAAACCAAGACAGCTTTGCTGCCTCTGCCTCTCAGGTGCTGGGATCCAAGGCGTATGAAACTACATCTAGTTTGCGCAGTGCTGGGGATTGAACCTGGAACCTAGTGCATGCTACACATTTACACTCCCAACTGAAGCTGCACCCCTGGCCCTGATCTCCTCTCCGCTTCTGTTTCCCCAACATTTAATTTTTCTATGTACTTGTTACTATGACAACTGTGGTTTTGTTCTAGTCATGCCCAAATGCTTCATATTTCATTTATTGTAATTGTAACAAAATATCAGAGTCTGGGAAACTTACAATGAACAAAAGTTTCTTGGTTCACAGTGTGAATCAGGAAGCCCAATATCAAGGGACCAGTGTCTGGAGGTTTTCCCACTACCTGCATGTCTTAGTTAGGGTTTTACAGCTGTGAACAGACACCATGACCAAGGCAAGTCTTTAAAGGACAACATTTAATTGGACTGGCTCACAGGTTCAGAGAGTCAGTCCATTATCATCAAGGCAGGAACATGGCAGCATCCATACAGGCATGGTGCAGGCAGAGCTGAGAGTTCTACATCTTCATCTGAAGACTGCTAGCAGAATACTGCCTTCCAGGCAGCTTGGATGAGGGTCTTAAAGTCCACACCCACAGTGACTTATTGACTCTAATAAGGCCACACCTACTCCAACAAGAACACACCTATCCCAACGGGGCCACACCCTCTAATAGTGCCACTCCCTGGGCCAAGCATATACAAACCACTACAATGCATATGTCACAACACCCTCTCTCTTGTATGACCTCCAGTTTGACATCATTGCTGGGGGGAGGGTACAACTACTCGCATCTCATTACCTTCCGAAATTGTACCTGAGTCATCTTTATCTTGACACAGCTCAAAAGTGTGAGTGAGATAAGAGAAATCGAGAACACTGATGAGGTATTTTCATATGTGGCTGTTTATCGCTGCAATGGATTTGGACCTTGGGCTTCTTGTCAAGTATTCTTCAAGTAACACCCTCATGCTTCCGTCCAGTGATGCCCCCCTAGTTACAGAAAAGAGTCTCTACATACTTCAGAAATCTGAGAGCAGAGCTAAAAGCATTCAGCTTAAAGGACCAAATTTCATATACTATCTTATATTTTAACTCCTAAAAGCACTTAAACACAGTCGGATGGCTCAGTGGGTAAAGGTGCTTGCTACCACACTGCATGACTTAAGTTTAATCCTTAGAATCCACATGGTAGAAGGAGAAAAATGGGTATTTGAAAATCGTCCTCTGACCACCACTTGTACACTGACATGTGTATACCCTACCCCACGTCAACAAAACAAATGTAGTAAAAGCATGTGAGCTTACAACTGAGTCTACATCCTTGATGTTTTCAATGGAATATTTCTTTTAAAGCCAAAAGTCATTAGGAAAAACTGACCATGAAAATCGGCCCTTCACCCTCCCTTCGCCCTTGGCACCAACCACAACCACCACTTACACACACATAGTTGTGGTGTAAACACCAAGGTCATTGGTTTTCGTCTCTTATAATACTCTAGACATGGTATAGGACATTCAGGGCTTGCCTTGCTTGTGCCTTGATATTCTACCATGGCTAACATGTATCCATAGCTTGTCAAATTAAGATAGTTTTACAAGGTCTACAATCTCATGTAAGAAACAGGGAGGAGAGTTTGCAGAAGGTGAGTTCCTTCATTTTAAGTGGTTGACCAAGTCACCTCCATTAACATTGTATTAGCTAACATTGAGTCACATGCCTCTACCCACCTGCAGGGCACTGGAACATCAGCATCCCTGAGACAGAGGAAGGGGAGCCAGACACCAGAACTGATCACTGTAGTAAGGATAGTGGCATTGATCATTCCTGGGGACCACTGGATTTAGCTCCCAGAAATCTGTCTTCAGGGGACATATCAACCCTGTAAACCATAGCTGAATCCCTTAGGCTCAATTTGGTGACACCTGGTAGTCCCCCATAGGTGCAGCTGTGTTCTCAGAATGATTTAAATGTCACACTAGCGAGTCTAACTGCCCATAACATATGGAGTGTTGATTGGCCCTTGCTGCTGTTGTCTGTCTGACAGTTTCAGATATGTATGCAATGTGTTAGGACTATACTCACCCCACTACCCACTGCTAGCCTCCTTTGGTTGCCTGTAAACACCTTTTTCTTAACTATCCCCTGCTGGCCTCACTGCTAGAGAAAATTATACTCCCACCTCCAGCAACCATTCTTCAGTCATTAGCTTCTTGGAAAGGGATGGAGCATGTACACCTCCTCCATCCATGACGGGTTAAAAGGCATGGTCTTGTGCAGGTGTTCTTAACTGCTGCTGCTGCTGTGAGGGTGGGGGTGGGGGTGTATGTCTGTGTCTGAGTGGTGTGTGTGTGTCTGTGTGGTGTGTGTTCGTGTGTGTCCTGTGTGTGCACGCATAAGACGTGTGCTTGCAGTGGCAGTGTGATATCAGGATGACAGTATTTCATGACACTGCCGCATCCTCCTGCTTTTACATTCTTCTGTCCCATCCTCTGTCATAGTTCTTGGGCCTTGAGGGACAATGATGCGGATTTAGGACTTACATCATTTAGGATATAGGATGTAGCGTTCATCAATCACATATTCTCAGCACTTTGGCCAGACAAGAGTTGGCATTAACTGCCACACTGTAAAACGGAGCAAGAGAGCAGCACACGTCTGGGTACCACATAAGTAGTTGGGAGGCAGTCTAGCAGTGTGGTGTCCCTCTGGGGAAACAGTGGTAATGTGTTCTACACTCATGGACCCTTGTTCCTTAGGAATTCCTCAGTTGCTATCATTGTTGGTTTGGGCTATGGAAACTTCTTAAAGATTTTGGGTCATTTTCCAGGCATATCCAGTGCTGAGTAGGCACCAAGACACAGAGCCTGGAGAATGCAGATTGCTCGTCTGGGGCCTCTGGGGTGAACCAGACCATTTCTCATGGGGTTTTGACTGGTACATATCGATTAGAGAAGGATAATTTGAAGACACTTGACTCATTTTGAGACATGGGAGACTTTACGCAATGCAAATGTTTTAAAGACATCACAGTTTGAGAGTTCTTACAGACACTTTCCGTGAACAGCAGGTAAAGGTGCACGTACAGTATACCAGAAGATCCCAAGAGACAAGCTGAGCTTTTCTATTTAGCTTTTTAAAATAATCATAATTGTTACATTTGTTGCCAGTACTTTCTCCTAATTGTGCATAATTTAAAGAGGTTAAAAGCCGTCCTGTAGAGTCCTATTGCAAGTCTAGATCTTCCTGGCAATAAAGCTTACACTACAACTGCTATACCGAACAGAACATGCTGTGCAAAATGGAGTCAAGATGACTTATATTTATTTTTATTTTTTAGATTAATGTGGCTGCTTATGACTAAGAATTCTGGGACCACAGATGTTCAGAGAAATAACATATACATATAAGGTAATAACAGGAGTATTTTTAATTAATTTCATGTTAACATAATTATTCTAAGTGAAGGACTTTTATCCAGTCTTCACGTTCAAAGCAACTGTATTCAGCTCATAAAGAGCAGAATTTGCCCAAATCATCTTTGAGTTTTGGACTAAATGCTACTGATATAATTAATGTTGGAACTGTAAGCATGTCATATCTTTATTATAGTGTGTCTAACTGTGATAGTGACTTCAGTAAGCAAGGGCCACTGTCGTTGGGAAGTTACTTACTATGATCATAGTTTGCTTCTGCAAAATTTGAGAATGAACTACTTTTTAATACAGAGGGAAAAAATTAGATCCAAATGGAACAATGCATAATGACCTATATTATATAAGAACATCTGTAAGTTAGTATTAGCTCCTTGGTTCGGTTTAGGTTTGGGTTTGGGTTTTGTTTTGTTTGTTTTGTTTTGCAGAGTCCTATGTATCCCAGGCTGGCTGAGAACACTGTAGGATGACCTTGAACTTCTGGTCTTCCTGCCTCTGTCTTCCTAGCACTGGGATTATAGGTTTGGGGAACCACACCCAGTTTAGGCAGTGCTGGGATGGACCCTAGGGCTTCATGAATGCTAGGTAAGTGCTCTACCAACTGAGATTCACCCTAAAGAATATTTTAGAAGTCAAAGTAAAAGTGTTTTGGGGGGAGGCAATAAGGTGTGTCACTGGTACCAGGAGCAGGTATGTTCTTAAAAGCCCCTCGGGAATGGGGTGTCTTTACATTCCCTCAACTACATTTTTTTATTGAAACATATAGTGCTCCCCAGAAGCCCCCACTGGCCACATCCAGATGGGAGCATAATCAATGCCTTGTAGGAGGAGAGCAGCAAGCCTGAGAACGGAGGCCTTCCTTGACAGCCTTGGTCCCTCAGCTGGTTGGTTTAGCCAGCATCTCTGGTACGGGACTCATCTGAGTCTCGAGATTCATTTGCTAGGAGGCTTCAGGTTTCCGTCAGCCCTCTTCCTGTTGACATTCACTGAATGAGAGCCATTTTCAAGACTTTATCTGTGGTGTTAAGTACGGCATCTGAGGACAGTTGAAGACTCTGATAAATTAATTAACCTATTTGGGTGTGTTTGCTTGGAAACCTGGAAAGAAGCCTGTTTTGAGATACATTTTGTTTTTAGAATGTAATCCGAAAGGACGAGAGAACTCTTCACCTCATGAATGTGTTCAGATAGTCTTTCTGCTTATCTCAACATTTCTCTCACTTTGGTATTTTACTTAGAAGTGGCGAGGGAGGCAGGATGATCACAATTTAAAAATATACATCCATGCCCTTAGTCTAAGAAAGACTCTTCTAAGTGCTGTCTCTGCTTTATATGGGCAAGACTGAGCAAGTCCTCCTTTTTCTCCTTAAAATGAAGCAATAGATTTAAAAAGTGAACCTGTGTGTTGTTATTTCTTGTACTAAGTGATAACACATATTTAATATAAATGTGTTATGAGCTGTCTGCTGACCAGAGAACAGACTCATCCAAGTCCTGAGTGAAACAGAGGCCACTTTTAAGTCTTGTGATATTATTGAGGACCAAAGGCTAGACAGCTAAAAGACTGAAGCCCAGAGCTAGAAACCAGGGAGACAACAAAGAAAACATGTCTGATGTTGTTGGCTCATAGGAAATGAGAGGTAGTGAGAGCACCCAGCTTTTAAATAGTCCTGCAGAGGACAATGTCCAGGATGCTGATAGAGGACAGTGAGGGTCAGTAGGATCCAAACATGCCCTGTGCTTATATAAATTGTCACAGTGAGCTCATTTGGTACAAATACTATATATGTTCACATGAAGTTTGGCTGAATTAACATAGGAGAAGAGCGAGCAGCCTCCTTGCTGATGAATTCCACCAAGAAAGACCAGGAAGAAGTACAGTATAGAATGTCACTTTTGTAGCACTGTAAACTGGCTCCCCAGGTGACATTCAGGGCCCTGGACTTCCCCTGTAAAACCCCAAAATGAAGAGATAACCGAAATCTCAACTTCTCCCATACACGTAGGCTTGTAGGACCTTGAATCTTGGGCTATCGAGGAGTTAAATAGTGCAGCTCACATGAGGTGTCTGTGCCTTCTTGGTACACTGTAAGCCTTAGTTTGTATTCTAGGGTTCTTTATACATAGCGGGGGACCTTGGTTAAATAAGATCAACATTATTATCTTCCATTCATCAAACAAACACAGACCCCATCATAACGTTTCTGCTCACAGCATTAGCCATGTTCAGAAACCATCTTGTGGAGCTAAACCATAGACATGTACAGTTCCATGTCGTATAAACCGTTACTGCCCAGGCACCTAGGTCAGGGGCTGGGAGTGCCCAGAGAAGACTCTTAGGCTCTGCCCTTACAGTGTGCAGAGTGGGAGGAGAGATAGATGAGACCGTACATAAATAGCTCAAGCAGTGAAGGCGTGTCCACAGCAGTTAGGAAGTGTTGATCTTGGACTGTATATGGAGACACTCGGCCACAGGCTCTCAAAATCAGGTTCAGTAGCTATGGCCTGAGTACCCTTTATATTATTCAAGCAGGGTGCTTTTCTCCAAAGCTGACTTCATGGGGCAACTGACAGTCTTGCTGTAGTGTAAAGGAAAATGTAAGCTAAGGATGTGATATTAAAATATGGACCTGGCCAGGTATGGTGGCATTTGCCTTTAACCCCAGCACTTGGGAGGGCAAGTTAAGGAATCTTTATGAGTTCAAAGCCAACCTGATCTACATAGCAAACTCCAGGCCAGCCAGAGCTACACTGATACCCTGTGTCAAAAAGTAAATGAATAAATACAGCACTGAGGGTGTAGCTCAGTGGTACAGCATGTGTGTAGCATGTTCAAGGACCTCTTCAATCTTTAGCTGTAATCGACCATGGTGTGCTGAAACCATTCTATGTAAGCAGAGTCTACATTTGTTAGAGCTGTACATTGCTCCAGTTTTTCTGTAAGACCTTCAGATGTGTTACTTTACTTTTATTTAAGATGTTTCTACAAAATAAGTCCAAACCCAGGGTCCTATTCCTGTGTTTGCTTGATAAACAGAAGCTAAAAGTATTGGTCTTGCTTTACCAAAGCTCCCTTTATAAAGGAAAACCCTGGAGCACAAACTAAAATAAAATACCTTATGGCTGTGTCCTAGTCTAACTCACTGAGGAATGAGTGGCTCCACTGGGCAGTCCCTGGTGCATACTTACATGGATGTATTCAAACATGAAGCACTGTCTGTGTTTCTGAAACAGCTCCCAAAGGGTCCCCAGGACTCCTAGCAGGGCCCCAGGAACCTCTCTACACAGTATCCATTTTTCATGTTGTCATGGAATGACAACCCAGAGGCTTGTTCTAGACCCCCTTGAGGGTTTTGTTTTATTTTTGTCTTGAGAAAGTGTCTCACGATGTAGCCCTGGCTTACTGGTCCTCATACTCACAAGGCATATTGTACTGAGTATTGGAATGTACACAGGTGCACCCTCAGCCTCCTGAGTGCTGGGATTAAAGGCCTGGAGTGCCACAGCTGGTTCATTTTCTCAATGCCTGCCATTCTAACTGGGATACGACAGAATCCCACTGCAGCATTAAAGTGCATTGCTCTGCTTCCCTGTGGAACGGAACATCATGGTTCTTATCTGTGCTCCATCTCCGGGGAACTGTTCCTTTCATTAGTCCATGTATTGACCTGGTTGTTTGATTTCCTGTTTAGCTTCTTGTGTTCTTTGTACATTCTAGCTACTAATCCTCTGTCAGATGTACAAGAAGATCGTTTTCTCTTCTGTAGACTGCTTCTTCCCTGGATTAGCTGTTTCTTTGGTCTGATGAGGTCCCGTTTGTCAATCCTTGGTCTTGTTTCTCAGCACCTGGAGTCCTGTTGTGAAGTTCTTGCCTGTGCCTCTAACTTAACATACTTTCCCCATGTTTTTCCTCTAACAGTATTTGAATCTTGTTTAGAATCTGTTATACGTTCATTTAACCAGTGTTGGTATCAGGCTCCAAACCCAATGGCATCACATCTAGGCAACCCCCACATCGTTGCCAAGGCAACCACCGTACATTCCCAGAATCTACCTGGCTATCTTCCACCCTTACCTGGGAGAGGCTACATCACTGCCCATGTAAAATAGGCAGAACCCCTTGACCTCTATCTCTTCTTCCTCTTCTTTTTCACCCCCCCCCTTTGCCCTATCTCCTGAATAAACCCCACTTGGAACCGTTTGGTCTGGTGTGGTCTGTTCCAAGCCATGCGCAAATGTATATCAACCAGTCCTTCCTAAACTTCTCATTTGACAAACGGAATCCTGGTACCATCCACTGCACTGAAGCATCTTGCATTTGCACACACTGGATTTTGCACACACTGGAGTGTGCACATGCATTACCAGGCCCTTGACTCATCTGTTCGCTGTGCGGATCCCTCTACTTACCTTCACTCCTATGACATTTCTATGTGCACTCTCTGTCTACTTCTTTATTCGTTCTTTATTCAGTTCTTCATTCTTTATTCAGTAAGGAACACAGGCCACAGGCAGATGTTGTCCTAAACAGTTCGGACAAAAATAACTTCCAAATCAAGCAAAAGAAATTCCTTCTTTGGTGGGACTTCAAATGGGTGAAGACAGGAAAGAAAGTACATACGCAGTTAAAGTCTGTAACATATACTACTGGGAATAACTGGTGTGGAAGATGAAAGGAAGTGTGCACCGCAGGGGGTGTGTAGCGTTAAGTCTGCTTTGCAGTGTCACTGTCCAGACAAGAGGTGCTGATGATGTATACCACCATGCAGTGAGAGAGAGGGTCCAAGGTGGTTGAGATCCCAGTCAGATTTAAGAAGCCCTGAAGAAGGTGAAAAATGTACTGTTACCAGGAAGAGAATTCTGAGCAGAGGTGTTGAACTTATGAAGGTCCCGAGTAGGGGATAGATGTGAAATGTTCTAAAGCTGTCTAGAAGGACCAGTGTGGCTACAGCAAATAGAATGCGCAGGACAGAGCTG